TTTTTTGGTTTTTTTTATTTATCATAAATTTACTTTTGGTTTTTTAAAAAATTTTTAAATTTGGCAAACCAATTTAAAAATCAAATTTTAGTTAAATCAGTTAGACTCAAAATGATTTCTACTGAGATAAAATTAACTTTGGAAATAAAAATGAATTATTTCATATATCTAAGAATCAAAAGTATTATATATTTTTGGAAATTGGGGAAAGGAATTATTATTAGAATAAAAGTGATTTAATGTATATTATGAATAATTGGTAGACATGGCATTTTTATTCTTATAATTCTCAGAGTAATTGGGAAAATAAAATCAAATACAACAAGTTCCACTTTTAAGGCACAAACTTTCAACGAAATTTAAGGCACAAAAAAAATCTCAAATTAAGGCACAAAATTCAGATTCTAGTAAAATAAAATGTGTAAAAAATTCCAAATTTTGTACCTTATTTGAGATTTTTTTGTGCCTTAAATATCATTGAAAGTTGTGCTTTAAATTTAAAACTGAGTGTATAAAATTTTTTCATAATTGGATTTTTTATTTAAAGATTTTTCTAACACAATTGAGATCGTCAAAATTAATCAACAGATTTTTTTAGCTGCTAGTTTTATGAAACAAAACTGGGATCAAAATTTTAGGTTTCTCTGTAGTGTTGAGTCATTATGGTTAAAAATAATTTTCTGAAATGGATTAAAAAAAATTTATATATATTTTTATTGAGTACCTAATAACAATCAAAAAAAACTAACTAACATGTGAAGTGTGAATGATCTCCAAAAATCAACATTCAAAAGGCTTAGATTTTTAGAAAAAAGCACCCAAAAACAAGAAAAAATTTACAATTGTAATGATTAGAATGATAATTTTGAAAACAACTGTGTTGGTTTTGAAGTGTCGCTCTTTGGCGCTTTTTCGATCTCAAAAATGTTTTTTTTTCATTTTTTTTGATTGTATCAGAAAAGTTATTTTTTTCTCGAAAGAATTTTACATAATCCTTAATTTATCAAATATAGAGAGCGAAAAAATAACCTCAAATTAGTTTAAATTGAATTAAATTGATGGCCTACTTTAAGAAGACAATTGGTTTTAAATTGAAGATATTTAATCCTTTGGAAATTTAAAATAAAGAAACAAGTAATTTTTTTTTAAATTTGATTTTTTGAAATTAAGAAAAATTTTTGAAATTATTTTTATTAAATTTTGTTAATGATATTTTTTGTCAATGAAATACTTTGAACAAAACTTTTTTTTTATTTGAATTTTTTGCCAAGGAGAACTTTTAAATTAATTATTTGAATTGAATTTTTTCCCCAAGAGATCCTTTCTAGGTTTATTATTTTTGTTATTTAAATTTTTTCAATCAAAAGAAGAGCAATTTTGCAACACTCTTTTTGGTTTGACGTACTTTGTGAGATTTAAAGCAAATCCATAGTAAATAACTAGCTCTTAAGGAATTAATAACCTAAAAATAAATATTCTAACACATTTAATAGTTAATTCAAAAAAAAATCGCATCTTAAAATCTTGAAAAATGGTAGTATTCACCTGATTACTACAAAAAAAAACTTTATCATAAAAGCTCTTTTCCAAAATAAATTATTATTTAAAATTCTTATCCCTTTTTCGCATTTTGGAACAAAAGTATAAAAGTCTACATATTTCCAAATTAATGCAAAAACAATTATTTTAATTGAAGAAGAAAGAAATATTGTTAGTTATTTTGCAAGTATAAAAAAATATGCTTTAAAAATAAAAAAAAAACCTGATTTTGGTATCACTCTAATCGAAATCTCTTTTTTTTTGTATTGAATCTGAAATTATGAGTACACTTCTATAAATATATAGGAAGTATGCCCTTAAGTTTTCTTATTTTTTTTTTTTAATAATTATTTTTTTATTGATCCTATTAGTATTCAAATTATAAAGGGTAAAATTTTCACTTCTTTTACTAGAAGATCTTTTTGAGTTTACTATTCACTTAAAAGAGAAAAGAAATAACTCAATATTATTTTAAACAAGCCACACCAAAAGTGTTTTTATTTCACATAATCCTTGAGGGAGTAGCTACACCAGAAGACATGAATAAAATTTAAGAGAGATGAGATAAGAGTATTTTATTTTAGTGGCGGGTGATCATAGATTCTCGAAAAATTTTTTTAAAAAAATTATTTGTTATTTTTTTTTTTAGTAATGTTAAACAATAAAAAAAAAAAAAAGAATATATTAATAAAATAGTTTTGATTTTTTTTTATTTTTTTTTTATTTAAATATACTTAATTCCAAAAATTTTCGCCCCTTTTAAACAGTATAAAAATAACAATAACATGATTTACATCCAATTGGAAATTAATTTTGATTCTACAAACTATTTCATTTTTTATCTTTTTTGTTTTATTTTCATTCCCTTCTTTCCAGTTACATAATATGTTTCTTTAGATCTGTAATTTTTTTTTCCGATGGTTGATAGATGGTTAATGGTGACTTTGTGGAATAGAAAACCCCTCATACAATTAGTTGATGATGGTGTCTGTTTTTTGACCAATCAACAATTGTTAATGTAATTTTAACAAATTTACCAATACATTTTTTGTTCAGCTCGTTTCATTATTTTGGATACACTGGTTTATTAATTTTGAGTTTTATATTTTTTTCCTTTTTTTGGATCAAAATGATTACTTATTAAAACAGTTAATACTATGTTATTTATCGTGTTGTTTTGTATTACGTTTGGGAAAATATAATAAATTGAGTTTTTTTTTTCCTATTTTTAATTAGAGATGTTTCCAAATTTTTGGAATGGGGTTTAGTGTTTTTCTTTTTTAGAAGAAAATTTCAGATTCTTTTAATGAAACTTATAGCTATTTTGTGCTTTAAACTTTGACAGAATATATAATCATATTCACTTCTCCAATTCTGCCAAATCCGACTATTTAAAATCCTAAACAAGTAATATTTTGTGATAATTATTATTTTTTTGGTATTCTTCTAGCAATTAAAGTCCCATTCATATTTCCTTTTGTGATTCTCGTGATTGTAATGTTATTGTTCTTTTTAAACAAAATCCATAAATCCCAAATGCCACAGATAAAAAATATTTCTAATTGCTTTTTGTAGTCATAATTTAAAAAATTCAAAAATGATGAAAAAAAAAACAAATGAAAAAATTAAATGCCACAATAAAATGTTGAGATAAGGACCAAATATAAGTCATTCAACATTCAAAAGACTATTTTAAGCAATTTAACTTAATAGTATATTCTGGAAATTTCGTAAAGACTTTTGAAAAAAAAATTTAAAAAATCTAATTAATGAATTCCTTTAAATTATAAAAATCAATGAGTTACAACGGAAAATAAACAATGTTATTTTCTGATCCTTTTCAGAATTGTAAAAAAGTGAAAAATTTTTCCTTTACCATGGCTACTCCCTTAAAAAGATTTCGAGACGAAAAAAAGATCACTAAAAAATATTCCAAAATATTTATCACAATCAAATTTTTAATTGCACAACAAACATAATCAGACTTGGACAAAATGAGGAAAAAATAACAAAAATTTAGAGAAAGAGATTTCTCTAAATCCAAAAAACATTCCTCATTCTCTAATTTCCTCATTGTTTATTTTATTCAAGACTCTTCGATTTTTCAATAGATCTCATGGGTAAAGAAATTTTTAGAGAAGAAATCTTTTATTTACTCTAAAATTGAATTTTGGGTTTTACATTTTGAAAAGGCAAAATTTTGAAGATTTCTTTTTGGGAAAATCAATAGTGTATTTTTGTGAAAAGTGACGACTTGTCACTTACAAAATCATCGAATTTTGGTAATTAAACTCGTAAAAATTTGAAAATAAATTTTGTTTTTCAAAATGTGTTTTTAAAAAACTTGATCTTGAAAAGTAAAATGAAAAAAAATTAAAATATTAAAGAAAAAAAAGCAAATTTTTTAAAAAAAAAATATTTTTTTATTGAATCAAAGAGAAGAAATCAACAAGAGACAGAATCACCTTTTACATAAAATGGTTACTTTTTTTTGGTATTTGTTGTTTAAATAATCCTATTGGGATTACATCTCTTTTTTTTTGTTTTAAAAGTTGTTCTTTCAAAAAATTAAAACAAGTCAATAAAGAAGAACAATCAAAAAGTGAGAAAAATTTTTTTTGTGTTTTGTTTCAAAAGAAAAAAAAAAGTAAAAAAAGAAAAAAAAGCAATTGAAATAAAAGTCAAAACCGAAATAAGCATATATAACCGATTTTAAAAAGCATTGGAAATTACGTGAAATAATAATTCTATTATTATAGGTGAGGGTTTTACTGTCTTGTTGTTGTTCTTTTATTGTTTTTTTTTTTGGTTGTTGTACTGTTGTTGTTTTTGTATTTTGTATTAGTTGTTGTTTTGATTTGTTGTTTGGTTGTTGTTTATTGTTTTTTGTTGTTTTGTTGGTTGTGGTTTGTTTGTTTGTTTGTTTGTTTTTTTTGGAAAGGGTTACACTTGGTTTTTTTAATCAATACACACAAATCTTCAGTTAAACAGTAAACTCAACAACGAACTGAAATGGTTTTGTTTTTCAGTTACCGTTTACAGATCTTGGATTTAGAATTTTGAAAAAAAGAAATTAAAAAGATTGTGAATTGAAGGGATGGTAAAAAATGGTTAAAAAGAAAAATATTCTTTTTTTTTTTTGTTTTTTTGGTTATATCAAAAAAATGCAATGTTTAAAGGTGAGATATGAAGTCCCAGCTTTTGTTTTACTTTTTGAGTTTGAGATTTCTCTAATTATATTTTTTAGAGTTTTTTTTTCACAAAAAGAGAGAATTCTTCGTTTTTCTCTAAATGTCCAAGTCTGAACATAATGATATTATGCAACCACACAAATTTTTTTTGGTTAAATTGTAAGAAAACTGTTATAAATAGCAAAATTATGCGCTTGTAGCTCAGCATGTAGAGCATTTCATTTGATGGTCCTAGGTTCGATTCCTAGAGGGGCGATTTTCTTTCGCCCCTTAGCTCAGGTGGTAGAGCGTCCAGCTGTAAACTGATTCGAAAAGGTCGTTGGTTCAATTCCAACTAAGCGCTTTTTTATTAACCTTTCTATGTGTGTTGGGTGTATCAAAACCTCTTGCAGAACGTTACATTAACACAAGCTGAATACTCTCTCCTTTTCCTATTCAGAGAAAAAAATTTTCAAAAGTAAAAAATAAAATGGAAAAAATGGAAAAAGTTTTTTTATTTTTACATTGCCTTGCTATTCAAACAATTTCTCCAAAGAGACAACACAAAACAATCAAAAAAAAATTACACAAAAATAAGATTTTACAGAGATGGTTGAACACAAGACCTAAAATTTTTTCACAATTTTCAGAATAAATCAAATAATATTGCTTTTTGAAGATTTGAAGGAGACTAATAAAACAAAACACACAAGGTCTGAAAAAAAAGACAAGAAAATTATAAAAAATGAAGCAAGGAGAAGCATAAGCAGGATCGATTTTTTACTCCACAACTAAGCGAATTTACATCCATTTAACTTTTTGGTTTCTTATTTTCTTCACATGAAGGTTTGAAGAAGATGATGATGATCTTGATGATGAGTTTGATATTGATTTTGGTATTTTTTGAGTTTCATTTTGCACAAGATTTTTTAAAGGGTTTGGGATCTGCGACATTATAATTTGGTACATTGAATTTTGCCACATGTTAATTTTCGTCACGGAAAAGTATGACCAAACTGTAAAACCTTCATTGTTCAGGCACTCAAAAATGAACCCAGTTTTGTTTTTTGTTCTAAAATGTCCAAGATTAAATATTTATGAAGTAAATGGGAAAGATAAAAAAAAATAAAAAGGTAAAGTTTGGTTTTTTGGTTTATAATCATTAGAGACTTGGTGTTTTGAAAAAGGAAAACAAAAAAAAAAAAACATCAAATAATTGAGGTTACTGAGTTTTTGGGTATGTATTTACTTTTGGAGTTTTTTGAATTGTTTTTTTAAAAATAATTTGCTTGGTTGGTTTTGGTACAATTTTTGAACAGGCGGACAAAACTTGAATGAGGAGGATGACAAACAAAGTTCGCTCCTTTTGAGCCCAAACATGTCCGAGCATGTGTTGTTTAAGTCGATCAGCGACATGTGTTTTCCGTCTAAAAGCATAAGTGGTGTTTTCATTTGATGGAAAATTTCAAAATAAGTCGTAACACGAGACTGTGGAATTTCAACTTCGTTTGTTGTTGAGTTTTGGTTTCCCATTAAGAACAAAAAGTACAAGGAACAAAGAGAAAAAAATAAAAAAGAAAAAAAGAAAAAAAGAAGGTGTTATAATTATTTTGAGAGGAAAAAATATTAAAAAGACTTTTTTTCAAAATCGTTTTAAACAATTAGAAACCTCCAAAAAGAATATTTTGTGTCAAGGATTTTTCGAGTATATTGATCATTTTTATAAAACGGAAATTTTCTTATGAATTTAATTAATTAACTTTTAAAATCAGAAATACTTTTTTCACCAACAATTGGGTATATATTACAAAAAGAACATATTCTTAGATTTTGAGCCTTTGTGAATTTTTTTTTCAGAAGTTTTTGATGTATTTTGGAACATATTTTCGAAATTTTCTTGAATCTTGAATTCCTTGAGAACTGATTTTGTGAAACAGAAAAAGTGGTTTATTAAAGAGTGCTTTTTTTCAAAACAAATATTTTAATTTTTTGGTAAAAATATTTCTCTTTCTAATATTCTATTTCACTTTTCCAAAAGAATTTACCAATGGAGAAATACTAACCTCTGATCTTTTATTCTATCTAACAATTTCTGAAAATTTTGCAATTCTTACTAATTCTTCACTTGGTCAAATCTCAAAGAGTACAATAATATATTATTACATTTTACTTTTTTATAAAAATTTTTATTTCAATTAGGTAAATATTTTCAAAAAGAAAAAGGAAAAAGTAAAAAGTTGTAAAAAGTGTAAATATCTAGTTTTCTCAAAAGTTCTTCAAACCCGTTCCCTCTTCATTCACCAAGCGTTTTCAACACATAAGAAAAAATTATTTCCGCACTTTTTATTCCAAAAAGTTATTTTTTTTTCAAATTCTTCAATGTTAATGTTTTGATTTTAGAAACTGTTTTTCCAAAACCTTAGTTGGGTTGACAAGAATTTTCTCTTTTGAATATGTGGTTTTTTTGGGATTGATCCGAAGAAAAATAATCTTTATCAATCGAAAAATTTTTTCAGAATTTAAAATTAATTTATTAAAATTATTTGTTCCAAAAACTAATTTCAAACAACTCACTCATTCATTTAAACGTGTGTATTTTATTTGAAGAAATTCTTTTTTAGGGGTTTAATTTAAAAAAGTAGAATAGTTTTTTAAAAAGAAGGATTTGGTTGAGTATTTGAAGTTAGTTTGGTGGAAGTTAAAAATAAGATCAATTTCTCATCTTTGTCTTGATTTTTGATCGAAATGTCTTGAAAAAACACAAATCTTCAACTCCAGATATATTTCTATGAAAAAATTCCAATAAATTTTTAAAGTTCTTACACCTTTTCCATTTTAAATATTTTTTTATGTTAACTTTAAATCAGAATTTGGTCCGTTATAATGTTTTAAAACTTTGTAAAATTGGTTGTTTTCATTGAAATATTTCTTGCTCAACAGTTGTTTGAAAAGTTTACTTCAAAGGATTTGAAAAAATAGAAGGAAAAATAAAAGTATTTCATGTATCAATCCCAAAAATGATGAAAATTTGATAAAGAACCCTCATAAGTCAAAATACTTTTGAAACTCTTGAGATTTTTTGAAAGTGTAATTTAATTTTCAACTTTAAATAATTAAAATACTTTTAAACTTGAAAAAAAATTTTTCATGAATAATGAGAAAATAACAAGAGTAAAAAAAATATGTAATCTCCTCATCAAAGAATTCAGCCAATTTATTAGACTTTTTCAGTGTTTCCTTTCAGAACAGATCATATTTTTCCAGAAAACAAATTCCTAAAAAAATAATTTCTTTCTTATTCGTGTTGATACAAAAATTGTTTGTATAATCGTTTTCGGCCAAATGATCATTTAGAAATATTCTTGATCGGAGTTATTTCGGTTTGAGTTCAAACCTTCTTGAAAATTACATTTATGGTAATTTTTTCAAAAGTTCTCAATAAACGAATGAAAGAAATTTTCGCTTTTGGAATTTATTTTCTGAAAAAATACTATTTGTACAGAAAGAAATTGCGAACATATTGAATGAATTGGTTTTAGGACGTTTTTCTCATCCTTTCTTACAAAGTGTATAAAACATTTTTTTTTTCACTTTTAGAATCATTTATGCAAAATACTAAAAAATTTGAGTATAATTTTTTGTTCTTTTAGTTTTGATTAGAATTCGAGAATACTTCTTTCCAAACAGTTCTTTTCAAAGAAGTGTTTTAAAGAAGACCAAATAATTTTACAAAGTTTGAAAACATTTTAAAACGATCAAAATAAAGATTTAAAGTTAACATAAAAAAATTTGTAAAAGTGAAAAATGCTGCAAAAATATAGTAATATTTATTTGGACTTTACAGTAAATTGAATTATTAACTTTTATCTAAATAAAAATTCCTCAAAACCACTTTGTATTCACACAATTCTGAAAATAAGGCATTTTTCAAGTAATTAACAATAAAAAGCAACATTTTTCGAAAAGTTGAAGAAATGAACCAAACTTTTGAATAGATCTTTTAAACCGAAAAAAAAGTAATATACTGGTATTTGAGAGTTGGTGGTAACTTAGTAGAAGAATTGAATTTACTTTATCGTTTTGGAAAAAAAGTGAAACACGGTTTTTAATTGGAAACATTACTGAAAATTCAAAGTCAAATCAATGAAAAAAAGAATAAATAAATAAATAAAGACAAAATGAAGTATTCGCCACAATAACAGTTTTTTAAATACTATCTTTTAGTATGGGTTTTTCTTTGATTGATCAATTATTAAAAATTTGTTCAAAAAATTGACTATTTTTGAGATCTCCAAAACCACATAAACAATTTCGATATGAACCAGAAATTTAAATTGTATTTGTTAGTTTGATTGAAAATAATATAAAGGGTTATTATTTGAAGTCAATTGGTTTCTTCTTTTTATTGATTTTACCTTTCATTTTAAGAAATGTTCCCAATTAAAAACCATGTTTCACTTTTTTTCCACAACAGTTATTTCTTTTTTTATTTTACTTTTTTGTTTTTCGAAACGAAAAGTTATTTTTTTCAAATAAAAAAAATAATTTTTTCCAAAAAAAATTTTTTTTTTTTATCAACAGGTGTAAAGGGAAATTATTAATAAACTGAATTTTTGAAGAACTCTCCAATTATAGTTTTATTTGAAATAAAAAAACACACAAAAAGACCGAGCCAATAACCAAAGGACAACGTTTAACCCATTACAAAAATTTAAATCTAATTTTTTTTTCATGTTTGGGTATTGGAAGAAAAGAAAATACATACAAACTCTTGGATCAGAATAAAATTTACTTTTATGGAATGATCTTTGGTGAATGTAAATGGTTCAAAATTATTACTGGTTGTTCAATAACCTATACTGACTTTAATGGTTTTTTTCTGACTTTTAACCTTGTTTTTGAAAATTTTTTAAATAGTGTTTTTTAATTACCTCTAGAAATGAAATGTTTACAAAGGTGTGTTTATTTTTCAAAAAGAACTTCTTATCTTAAGAATAATACTTATAATTCTTGAAATTGTTGATTGAAAATTTTTTTTTCAAGATCCATAATTCGTAAAATTTTTTCCTAAAAAAAATAACTTTATTTTAATTTTTGTAATACACTCATATATTATTGATTGCAAAATAAATGAACATAATTCATTCAGCTTTCGAAAAAAAAAACACCCTTCCAAGAATCATAAAATAAATCGATCAAAGTTTCCAATTCTAAAAGGGAAATTAATAATTTAAGCTGATTTTTAGATTAGAAATTTGAAATGATAAAAAAAGATTTTTTACCGTTGTTGAAAAAAAGTGAAACAGGGAAAAAAAGTTAAACACGATTTTTAATTGGGAAGTTTAACTTAAAATGAGAA